ACCATGCGAACAACATCAGCTGCTGCTGTTTTAAATTCAGTTGGGGAGATGGGACCAATATTCAAGGTGTCATCAGGTCGGAGTCCTCTCAGAATGACGAGTTATCGTTCGCATCTGGTCCACCAGACAATCACCCTCAGCACCTTTGTCCATCGTGAAAAACGATGCAGCTTCTGCAGTAAGATGTTGGTTGAAGCAGCGACCAATGTAACGGTCCTCTTAATCTCTAGTAACTAACGTTGCGACAGCAGAAATCTGAGTGTTGGGCTATTCGCTGGTCTGGTCTGTCAAGAACGCCGGTCCATGTAACCATGGTTTTATTTTCTCCATGTTCAGCACACCCCTGGAGCAGTAGTCGGCTGAATTGTCACAGGATTTTATGTGCCGCCATGGAAACACCTCCGTTTCTTCGTGAATGACAGCCAACCGGCAGGNAACAAATGTGCTGAAGCGCGTCCGAGCTATAGTCAAGAACTATAGCGGAATCAGTCTAGTAACTGACGGTCCATTCAATCGAGTTGAAACATCTTTTGATCACCTTCGCTTACCTCACGGCTAATACTGCTGCTGCCGGTTTTGGCCTGGGTATTGAGACCGCATTTAGAGGGGCGACCCTGACCTTTGCAAGCGGAATACTGCTGTCTCCTTCTTCGTGGTCGAGACGAGGATTCGTAGGCCACCACCCCGTATCCCACCTCCGACGAGTCCGCAAAAACGTGTAACTCACTGTGTTCCTCTTTGTGCATTCCTGGTATGTGACGAGGGAGTCGTATATTGCCCAGCGTGGACAGGCTCAGCCACCAGCCTTGCCCGGTAGTAGCCACGGTGCGACGAACCCCATTGGATCGTAAAAGCNTGGCCAACGAAGACAGAACACCTCTGCGAGTCGCTGTCGTCTCAGGTAACTGGAGTTGGAACAAAACCTCGTCCTCTTCCGAGTCCCATTGCACACCAAGTACTCTATCTGTTGGTAACGGACTTCCCTGCAATTCACGAAGACTCGGTGCCCGCTCATCAGCTGGGATGCAGTTGATTGCATGACGACTGTTGGACATCCACTTGGTCAACTTGAACCCTCCCATGATCAGTAACTTGGATAGATCCCTAATGTGTCGAACCGCTTCCTCGATGCTATCAAAGGATCCCAGGAAGTCGTCCACNGCACAACAGGGAAAGTGAAACTAACCGGCGTCGACGGCCTGGCGGTAAGTCTTCCTTATAATTTCGAGCTGCGCGCGACTTCCTAGTGTCTCGTTGCCCGAGGTAGACAAAAACACTCGTGGGATTCGTACACGTTTATTGGCGAATCGTGGTGCTAGATAGTACCAAAACATGCCGAGGTGACGCTAACCAATACACGCAATAAATGCAGTGGCAAAGCGAAAGCGTGTCACACGTGTTGCATGGGTTTGAACAGGACCCAGGTTATATATACACCTGGGCGGGAAACCGTACTCAGTCAAGCAAGCAGAAGTAAAAAAAGAAGTATCACAATTGGAGTCAGAGTTGATTGCGAAGAAAATGTGAACGGAGAACTTCCTTGTGGATTGCTCCTTTTCTTGGTACAGTCATAGTCCCTACAGAAGAAGATCGCGCCAAACGGTTGCACCGTCGTCCGACATTTTTGGGCAGGTACATCTTTGTTTCCATCTGACCACCACTACAAACGTGGAGCGTCCGTCTACTCTTGGGAGACTTCAGCCTGCATGAGCATTTCCTGAATTTCAGCGTACAATGAAAGAGTAGAAACCTATCTACGAGAGTATGTGCCCGAGGTGAAGTTTAATAGGGGGTGAGAGAACTACCCGCACTTAGGTATGACAGCCTTCACGGTTAGAACTCCCACGGCTAGAACTAGTCTCTTTCGATGGCAACGCTACAGAATATTGACGATTCAAACAGCAGTTTGACGGCTTCTTTGCTTGAATCTCTTGTGGACAAGGTAGAAAACTGGCTTATCTGTAACACCACTATTAGGGAGTAGCTAAAAAGCCAATAGATCCGTCCATGCTAATGGCATAGAACATGGGTATCATACCGCCAGGGAGACACTCGATAAATTATTCGATCGACTGCACGAAGCAGTCAGAGCTGTAGTAAAGGACGTTCTAGCTAAGACGGCAGAATTGAGTGGAACAGGTGAGAGCCTGAGCAGGCTTAGCATTAAATTTAAAAGCTGTTATATGATACCAACGGAAATGAGATATGGATCCGAGTTGGATTCCATACCCGCGCTGGGGTCATTAGGTACACGATTGCCCAAACGCTTACAACGTACGTGGGCCGAAGTGGCGGATAGGATCGTATCCAATGGTGGACGGTTCTGGTTTATCGACTTCATTGAGATGATATAAGCATGGTCGAGGATTCAGAGAGCCCCTTCGGAAGGCTAGTGGACACAAGGCGTTCACTGGAGGTTAATCGTCCCTGAGGCCCTCGACGTAACACGCATATGAACATCACAACGACTAGACAAACCACCATCAATAAAGAACTTTCAGTGCTCTTTGTGTCAAACATCACACCTACTTACTAAATGTGAAGGTCGGATGTAATGGAGAGACGGAAAACTGTAGAGAAAAATAAAGTTTTGTTATAAGTGCAATAAATATGGACACCTGACGCGGGAATGTGAAGAAAATGGTAAATGTTTGGTTGATGGTTGCACCGGCAAGCACCATAGCTTGCTTCACTTGTCGCTTAGTGATCAAGTGTCCAAGAATGTGCAAGCAATGGTGGGGATTTCTGTTCCGCGCCGAATGATATTACTAACCTCGGAATAGCCCTGATAAAAATAATGCACGGCGACAAATCGTTGAAGGTAAATGCCGTGCAAGATAGCGGTTCGGATAGCACAATAAATAACTTTCCGAATTGTTGCGGCTAAGTGGTCCGGGAGTACGAATGAACGTTCACACTGTGGGTGGAGAGAAACATATAGTTAGTCAAGGAGTATCATTCGAATTCAGCCCGCTTAGGGATGATAGAGGCATTGAGGTAAGCGCTGCATACACCATGGACGATCTATTATTGCCAAGAGCTCAAGTACCGGTTAAGAAACAAACGGCTCGATTAACCCACCTAAAGCGTTTAGAAAGGGCGCATGTGACTAACACTGGTTCAGGTTTTCATTGGTTGTGATTTCTCCAAAGCTCATTGGATGAATAATATTCGGTACGGCGGGCCAAATGAGCTCTTTGCGAGCAAGCCTGCGTCAGGATAATTGATTGTGGGATCGTCCTTGGGCGTTCCAGCTTGCAAGCAAAGGATTTATACAACATAGAAATTGAAAACCTGCATACGATGGTCACACATTACTTCGAAGAGGATCGTCGAGCGTTGGAAATAGCAGAGGAATCGATGAACCATGACAGGAGACGATTTAGCATCGGATTGAGGTGGAAAACCATACCAGAGACCATGCCGAACACCTACGAGCTAGAGATTCGGAGGTCAGAATGCCTGAAACGCACGTTTATGCGAGATCGAAATTAAATTGTTAGGTACAATAGTTTATTGAATGACCACTTTCGAACGGGCTACTTCGACCGTGTACCTGAATATCA